AATAGCAATTTCAAAAATATTTATAATATTCGTAACAAAATCAGACATGACAACCTTAAGGGTCACATGCCAATTCAGCTCTTCTTGATAAGCTCAACGAGGAAAGTTTTGAACATAATTACTAATATGACCAAGATAGTCATTTAACCCATCTGTTCTTTGTACACCCCATATTAATTCTACTTACCAAAACCTATAACACTATTTTCTTAATAGACTATACATATAAAACTAATAAGTTTCAAATATCTCTTCTTCATGTTGTTGGCATGACAGGCTTTAATACTATATTTTCTTCTTGTTTTGCATTTCTAAAATTTGAACAGAAAGAAGATTATAAATAGGTACTTACTCATATTGCTTGTATTTTTAGAGATATTCAAAGACCTCAGATAATTATAACAGACTAAGATCTAGTATTGATGAAAAGTATAAAACTATCTTTTCTGAATCACAAAATTTCTTATATGTTTAGCATATTGAAAAAAATGTACTATCTAATTGCTTTAGTTACTTTTTTATAGAAGAAGAATTAACTGAGTTTTTAAATAGCTAAACTATTTTAATAAAATCTAAAACAGAAAAGAGTTTTAATGAAAAATAGGTAGAGCTAGCAAGAAAATATAATGAATATTGTTAAATATCTACAGGACGTATAGTTACCTTTTAAAAAACATTTTGTGAATTTTTGGATAGATTGTTATTTACATCTAGGCAATACAACAACTTTATGGATGGAAGGATCCCATGTAATACTAAAAGGTATTTCCAAGTATCTACTAGCAACCTTTATGCAGTTTACGAAAAAATTACTCTGATATTAGAAAATCAATACCGAGAAATCCAAACCAAGATTTCTCAAGAGATAATCCAAGTTCTCATACTCAAAACAGGCCATTCTACTTACAAGTTATTATCAAAGTATCTATATTTGCCCTAAAAAAAGTACATGAACAATTTTTAAAAGCAACTAATGCCACTTCTAAAAACCCACTTCAACTATGCAGTAAATACATTTATATCATTAATGGGTCTTTTTTGCTCTTATAAAATTCAAGAGTATCTTAACAATAATCAAAATTTACCTCTTAATAACTTTCACAAACAGTGGTAATTTAGAAAACACCAATTGCTTCTACAAATATTAACTGAAACTAAGAAAGATTCTTTGTAGCAACAGTGTCAGAAATATACTTAACAATTTGATTTCTGGTCATCTTGAAGGTAAGCAGCAGCTCTAGATGAAATATCAAGTTTGTTTTATGAGCTAGTTATACAAGACCTGGAAGTGCAACACACAAGAGAACGACCAGCTAGATTAAGAAACACACAATTTTCTACTCAAAGAGATCCATTTATCTTTGAGTTTACTGAACCAAAAAGGTGTAAATATGGTTTATATTATAGAGTTGAGTATAATAGCAAAACTTGTCCTAATAATAGAGAGTGAAATTTAGTTTAATAATAATTTCAGTAACAAAAAGTAGTGTGGGAATTAAAACTTTGATTTGTTCCATTTATTTGTTGTGCTAATATAATTATTTGTATAAAGTAGTTGCTAAGAAAATAAGAGTTAATAGATGTATTCAGCTAGTATATATTTAAATAATATAATATAACATATACTATAAGCATTATAAAATAAATTTTCTCTAATTCAAATAGTATAATGGGAAAAATATAAATTGAGAATTAAAATCCTTAATAACTTTAATATTTAAAAAGGCTATGAAGGACTTTTACTTGCCTATTAACAGTTAAAGTATATAATGCTCTAATCTATACAATATTGTCTTGCTTATATGCAATGCTGAATTTGATTTTCTAGACAATTAAAAAAGTTGCTATGCCAGATTTTACCTGCCCAAAGAATATGATATCTGATCTAAAAAAAATAATATATAAAATTATTTAATAGTAAATAAAAAAACTTCATATACAATAAAATGCAATTATAAAGCCCTCTATGTATGAAGCTGAAGTAATTAAAGTCGCTATACACTCTTTGGTGGGGGGAAATAATCGAACAAGCAATTGAAAGTCCTCAAACAGCAGAGAAGCTAAAGAGTATTGTAGCACAGCTAGAAGGATATAAAAAACTGGCTTTTTACACTGACGGTTCACTCACAAACCTAGATGAAAACCCAGATAGAAGAATAATAGGAATTGGCTAGGTAGCTGCAGTTGAAAACAAGAACAAGAAGCATGACCACTATGTAGCGGAGTTTCAAGGTACAATAAGAGACTGGCTATCCTTAACAAGAGCTGAACTAGGAGCTATTTGGTCAGCTCTGCTAGTCATCCTCTGCAAGACCTTGATCAGTATTTACACAGATAGTGCAGCTGCGATACAAGCAATACAGTCAAACAATGACAAAATCAAGCAAAGTGAGATAGTCAGAAAAAAGAATCTATGCCTTCTAGAACAAATATGAAGAACAATAGATCTGAAAGAACTAAAAATTAGGCTCAACAAGGTCAAGGCACATAGCGGTATAAAAGGCAATAAGAAGGCAGATAAGTTGGCAAAAGAAGGGACACACAGCCAGGTGGTCCTAGATCCCAAGTGGCCCTGGAACAAGCAAGCCATAACCAAACTCAGATGGCAAGAAACAAGGGTAGATGATACAACAAGAGGTTTTATCACTAGACTAACTGAATTTAGTATCGACATGGAATAGAAAAGCCTGAAAAGTATAAACAGATGGGTAACAACAAAGGACAGCGACAAGGCAATTGAATGAAGAGAGATGTGGAAAGATATAGGCAAGAATAAAGGTAATATGTGTAGAAGTGCAGAAAGACATAGAGATTGGGTCTTCAAGATCAAGTGCTTGGGCAATCTTCTGCCAACAATGCAAGTCCTACACCAGAGAAAAGCGAATATATATATATATGATAAATGCAAAATATGCTATCAAGAAGCTGAAACACAAGAGCATCTCGCTGCATATCCTGAGTACCAATGATTGTAGGAAATTATAGAAATAGAAGGAAGCGAGGCTATTGTTAAGAAAGTAGAAAAAGAGAAAGAAAAGCTCATAACAACAGAAATACAGAAGATTACAGAAATAATTTTCAGAGAAAATCTACAGAAAAGAATTTCGACCAGAATAGAGCTAATGAAAGGTCTCATAACGAAAGAGAGAATGGAAAGATTTAGCTCCCTGCTATGTGAAACGAAAAGGATTTCCAAGGTCCTCCAAGCTTTTATTAACAAAGTTAAAATGCAGTTCCGAAGACACATATGGAATTTCCGGTGTGAATTGGTGGCAGAATGGGAAAAGAATAGAGAAATAATCAAGAAAGATAAAAGAGAGAAAAAGGGAAAAAGGAAGGAGAATGAAAGAGATAACCCTGATAAAGAAAACATAGACCCACAGGCTAGTGAAGGAGGTACAAAAGCCAAGAAATCAAAAACTAAGGGAAAAGATACGAAACTCAAAGCAGTTAGGGTAAAAGAAAACTTAATCGAAGAATGAGTCTCGTGGGGTAACAAACCAGCATGGTCTTCGCTAGTTAGAATTAAATCCAATGTTTAAGTATTCTTAACACGGCAGACAATAGCCAATCGGCAACCAAGGGGGTATCGTTATAGTACAAAATCTTTAGAAAGTTAAGGGTCCTGAGGGAGGTGAATTGTTGTTTTGGCAGATCGCACTGGGCAAAGTGCTTGGTGAGTTTTTATTAGATTAGAACATTACACTATAAAGATTATATATATATGTATTTTAATCACATAGTAGTTCAAATAAATAAAGGCAAAACTGCTTAAAAAAAAAAAAAAAGAAATGCGATCATAAAAGGTTCATATAAAATCATATATTCGATTTGTACAATCTATAAATTATGAATCTAAGAGTAATTTTACAAAAAATAATTTTTTTTGGCTATATATATGTACATATATATGTATATATTACATACATAGTATTATCAGTTTATTACTAATTGTGACATAATCGAAGTAATCAACATAACACATAATCCACGATGTGAATAGCAAAAATCTATAGTACGAATAACAATATCCTTTTTTAAATTTTATTTTGAATTTATTTCTTTTTGATAATATTCATATTGGACTAATTCTACTTTTTTTTTAAATAGTGCAAAAAGCTCTTCTATAAAGCTAAAAATATAGCTTTAACGAACTAATTTAATAAAATGCAGAGATACTGACATTGAGAAAATAGTTGAAAAAACAATACAAAACTGCTACTTGATGCTCTCTATTGGATAATTTCTTTATTTTATAACTATAATAATCAGGGTTCTGCAATTTGATTTGATTTGATTTGATCAAATATTTAATCTCAAATCAAATTCAAATATAGAAATTTCAAATCAAATCAAATTCAAATTGACAAAATATTTGATTTGATTTGAAAATACTTAATAAAAATTACAAATAAATTTGATTTAATTTGAATTTAATTTGATCAAATCAAATTCAAATCAAAAGTTTATTCGATTCGATCAAATTTAAATATATAAATATTTGATTCAATTCGACTTTGAGGAACTTTAATAATAACCGAAGAAATATTTCTATGGTGCAGCTCAACAATAATAATTCAGAATCAAATGAAATTAATAATCCCAAATCTGATAGTTTGGTATCTAATAATAGTTTGATGTCTAATAGCTATGAATCTAATAATAATAATTTCAGATATAATATTAATAATTCCACATTAACTTAAATATTTAAAAGCTTACTTAAAATATTTAAAAGTTTTATGAATTTTATTAATTTGGTATTTTTTTTAGCTTCAATGATATTTCTGAATCTAATCGTAGTAATCTTAAAACTGAACAACCATGTGTATTTAAAATATACTTATAAGGTTTGTAATATATTTATTAATTTTTTATTATTCCAGAACTAATTACTCTAAAACAAACAATTTTGGGTTCAATTCTATGTCTAACATGTCTAGCACATCGAACTCTATGTTTAACATGTCTAACTTCACATCTAACTTTATATCTAACTTATGCCTAACTCTACGCCTAATATTATGTCCAACTCTACTATACCTAAATCTATATCTAACATGTTTAACATGTTTAACTCTATATCTAAATCAATATTGAAAAGTAATCGTCAAAAAAATAAAGATTCTAAAAGCTCTTCTAAAAGTTCTACCTCTTCCAAAGATTCTTCTAAAAGTTTTTCAAGATTATCTTTCAAAGATTTTATCAAGAGAAGAGGTCATATGAATGTTTCTACTAGTAACTTCAGATATATTAGTGATAAAGACACAGATTACAATAATCATACTAAGCAAATAGAAAATTAATTTTTTAGTAATTGCATATGATTAGTATTTGCAAAAATTGTAAATATGCTATATAATTAGTATAAGCAAAAATTTGTAATACAAATTGAATATATATAATATATATATCTTATAAAAGATAGTTATAATAAAATATAAAGCAATACCAACTAGCCAATATCCAAGCTAAATTGTAACAAAATTTTATAAAAACTCAAATATATATATACAAGGAATAAATTAATAAAAATTTTGTAAATTTTGTTAAGTATAATAAAGTAAAAATGTAATATTAGCTAGCAGATACCCAAGCTGAATTATCAAAAATCTATATAAACTTTAATATTTAAACAAAAATCTATATATTTCAAGAAGAAACATATATATGTATATATACTTATTTAAATTTTTAAGTATCATTAAATATAATAAAGTAAAACTGAAATATCAGCTAGAAAATACCCATGCTAAACTATCAGAAATTTATTTAAAACTTAAATATCTGAGCCAAAATCTATATATACTAAGTAGAAACTTATATATATGAATATATATGAGTATAAATCGCTTAAATTTTGTAAATATCATTAAATATAATAATAGTAAAATGTTATATTGGCTAGCTAATACCCAAACTAATCTATAAAAATCTATATAAAACTTTAAAAATACCAAGCAAATTTATATATATATGCAAAAACCTATATATATATATTATAGATATATAGATTAATATCAATATATGCTAGCTAATATTTTTTATAGATAGTCTATATATAGGTTGCGGAAATTTGCCGATATATGCCAATTTGATAGGTTATAGATATGCATCAAGTATTGGTGAGCTATTAATATAGTATGTATTATCTAGATTATACTGGATTTTAATAATCTATATGTGACTTATCAGCTAGCAAATAGGTTGCTGAAACTTTATTGTTTGACTAGTGCTAAATAAGTTAAAAGATCAAGAGTATTGATAAATAAGTTTATATTATTAAGATTTAAAAAAGTTGTTAAGATAGAAGAGGAAGATATTTGATTTTGTAAATTTTTAAACCAGTTTGGAGTTTTTCTAATTGCTTTATCAATTCAAAAGTAGATAGTAATAGATTATTATTTGTTGCAGTTAGTAGTTGTTCTACAAAGAGAATATAATTATTGTAAAGACTTTGTATTATAGATTTGTTTGGATTAAAAATAATTTGATAAATAGAATTAGATCTAGAAAGTTGATAATGATTAATAAATTAGTTAATTGTTGAATATAAGAGATTAATATCATTTTTAACAATTGTATATAGATGATTAATTATAGTATAGTATTAAGTTTTGTTAAAATAAATAAGTTAGTAAAAGTGAGCTCTAGTTGCTAGTTAACAACTAGCTAACTTCTAATTCTGTGTAAAATAATTTGATTTAGTAATGATAGAGTTGAAAAATCTTTCTATATTAGATATAGCTAAAAATAAAAAGGTTTAAAATGAGAATTGGATATTTAAATTATAAGAGTTTGTTAGAATATTATTGTTGTTTATATTTTTATATAATAAAAGGGTGTATTTAATTTGAACAGAGATTTGCGTTAATAGTTTTTGTAAGAAAAATTGTGTTAGTAAGATTATTTGCATAAAATATTCTAATAATGGATTTAAAATTGTATTAATAATATATATAATGTGTATTGGAAGAAGTTTTTGTATTTAATTGTAAATATTTTTTTACTTTGTTTTAGATTTTTTCTATTATTGGTTTGGTAGAGCTTTTTCTATCATAATAGATATTTAAATATCTTATAATATCATTAGCTTTACATGGCGATATAGTAAAATTATTAAAATTAAGTGATAGATTTGTTGATTTGAGAGGGTTAAATATAAATCTTTTGAAGAGTTGATTTGTTTAGAGCATTTTAAACTGTATTATTTATGAATACAATAAGCAAAATTGTAATAGAGTTAGAGAGGCTATTTAATATATTGTAGTATTAAGTGGTATTATTATTGTAATTTTAAGATGATTCTCTTTATAAGTTTTGTAAATGAATGAAAAAATAAGATTATAATAAATTTTCCAAAGTAATGGTAAATATGGTTTATCTTGTTCTATATTAGATTTGATATTAATTGCTTAAATAAGACTATAAGCAGTTATATTTTTTTTTTAGCTTTTTGATAGCCTTGCTGGAGCTCAAATACAATACTTTATTTAAACAAACTAAATAATATTAGTATAAAAAAATTGCAAGCCCGACATCTCCTGGCTGCATCTAGTGTGCCCAAGAGTGACTTGTTGCACCAACCTATATGTAAGTTAGAAGACCTTGTTAGCCTGCCAAGAGTTTATCCCTTCATTTTTATTTTCTTCACCGAAAGCAAAAGAAATAATAATGTTCCGTATTCTCAATACTAGAACGTACATCAAGAAGAAAAGAAGTTTATATACAAAAAAGAAACAAAACAAAAAGAAAAAAATAATAAGAAATAAAAAATAGGGAAATCAAAAAATGTAAAAAAAGAAAAAACAAAGAGATAAGCCCTAACAGGCTAAACAAGAAAAAGCTATTTCCTGTAAGAAATAGCAGCTACCTCTATCAAGAAATAGCACAAAAATGAATAAAAAAAAAAAAAAAAAAAAAAAAATACACTATTATAACCTGTGTCAAGCAAGTATAAAAATTATATAATAAATACAATATTTGTATATCTCTACTGTAAAGCTTTGCCTTAATGTTATTGTTTCTTTCTAATCATATGACCGACTCCGGAATATTTGGTTCCGACCTAATCCGTATCTTAAGCCAGATACTGCCACTGTCCGTAGACCCATATCTCAAGCCACCTGCTGCCGCTATTAGAACTCAGAACCTGTCTAAATTAGTAGCACCGTATCTATCGAACATGTGGTTGTAATCTACTTAGCTATCCGGATTTGAAATATAAACACCGTCAATCTTTTGGAGGGGGTAAGCCAAATCTTCACTTTTTGAAAAATTTTTTTGCAAAACCGAAAGAAAGTGGAAATGAGAGAAGAGAGTTGCAAGTACTTTTAAGATTTTTTAAACGAGTGTGTTGAAAGAGCAGAGCTTCTTGTTGTTTCTTCTGTGTTCTTCATTGAAGTAACAGCCTAACAGCTTTATTAATGGAGTAGGGCCTCACTACCTATACTTCACTAAGATTTTTTATACAAGGGCACTACCTGCCAGTTATCTTGTATAATAATGCTCCTAGCTTGCATGCCAAATGTCCTTCTTTAGAGAAGTCCCCAAGAGTAGTAGTTGACCTCTAGACAAACCACTATATAGGCCATAACTCTCCAACAAGTAGTTCTGATTTTTCTTTAGCAGAAAATTTTGATTCAGATGATTGTTAAGAAGAGTTAATTGCTATAAGCAGTTATTACTTTGGCAGATTAGTAATAAAATTGGTGCCTTGAACAAGAATTCTTATTTTTTTGCAAGCAACTTGAAGTTGATTAATATTAATTTTATCAAAAGCTTTAAACATATCCTGGAATAACTTTATAGAAACTAGCTATTTTTTTTCAATGGAGTTAAGATCATCTTAACAATATTAATACAATTATTAAAATTGTATTTTATAATAATTTTATAATAATTTTACTATATAATTATTTTAAAATAATTTTAAAATTATTTTAAAATTATTTTATAGTAATCTTATAATGATTTTATAATAATTTTTATAATATATTATTTTAAAATAGTTTTAAAATTATTTTATAATTATTATATAATTATTATATAATAATCTTATTATAATTTTATAATAATTTTATAATAATCTTATAATAATTTTATAATAATTTTATAATAATATTAAATAATAGTCTTAAAATAATTTTAGAACAATTTTAAAATTTTTACACTAAAAATTTATTGTAAAATAATCTTATAATTATTAAAAAATTTATTAATATTGTTAAGATGATCTTAACTCTATTGAAAAAAATAGCTAGTTTCTGTAAAGTATCTCTATCAAGAAATAGTAAACAACTTAAAAGTTGTAATAAAACAATAAGAATATACTATTATAATCTATGCTAGGTTTAAAAAAAAATTATATATCAATTACAATATTTTTATATCTTAACTATAAAGTTATATATAGTCGACTCCCTCTAAGTGCATGTTTTCTAAGTGCATATTCTCTCTATATGCATGAAAATAGCCTGGTTCTAAGTCGGAACTTATAAAATAAGTGCATGTTCTATATTCTCTAAATACAGATTATTTTTCAAATTATATATATAAAAATATTCTCTCTAAATGCATTTTTAATATATTAACCAATCAAATTTAAGAATATTTTTTTTTTTTTCCTTTGATAACCGCATACTAAAATTTTATTAAATGTAATGCTTAATACAAGACCAAGCTATCTAATAGGGTATTAAACTAAAAGCCGGCTGTCTCTCTGAGATGCCCAACCTTGGTTATCGCACTGATGTTGGCCACTATACCCCACATACGGTGCCCGTATTTAAAGATACAATATAGCCGGGGCTCAGCTCCCACCTCAGGACCTCTTTTCCCTTCTAATTCTTCC